TGTTGTCCTGAGCTTAAATATGAAAAGATTTTTCACCTGTGATCAATTTTTGTAAAATTATGGGGGTTTAGAGAATGCCATGTTGGCCAATTTGGGACAATTAACGCGCGATATAATTCGCGCTATTAACGCGTAAGCGGAGATTTAATCCGTCATAGAAATCGTTCCAAATTGGTCGAAAGAAGCTTTTTTTGCCATAATTGATTTGTTACAATGAGCGGAATTCATTCTTTTGTATATTTATATGACGTGTGGGGGATGATTTCATAAGAAAAATTCAATTTTTCAGTCTGTTTTTATTTTCTGAATAAATTTTGTTTGAGCAAAATTGACGTCCAAATGTAGACGTTTTATGTATCAAAAATATTCAACTTGAGGCAACCTTTGTAAATTGGTATGCTCGAAGTTCGATTTCTTTTTCGTTCAATCGGGAGACAGTATTGTTTCTAGTAAATTTTAGGCAGTGAGTGCTGCAATGCATTTCTCAAGGCGAAGGTGCAGCGCAATCTAATTTCGACGCAAAATATATGCGAATTTTCAAGATCACCAACTCCATTTCTCAAAACTACTATGATTTAAAAAAAATGTTGCTCTCACGGTCACCATATATGAGTCAATTATTCGTCTTTAGACTGTTTTCTCCATGTACCTATTTAATTTCTGTTATCTTTCATGTTGAGTTAAAACTGAATCTGATCAATCCAATCGATATGAAGGAACTAATACTTTGTCTCCGAAAAACTCAATTTGATCGACAAAAGCATTTTGCATTTTTAATATTTACCGACCACGTGCGATGCAACAACGAATCACTATGGCAAAAACAACATTTTTAAAAATTCGATCTAAAACGATAAAAACGAATCTACTGAACAATATCCACCCCTATAGTATTTACTAAGGAATTGCCGCTCCTATAAAAAGAAGCAATAAATTAGAGGGGCTATTCTAATGGGCAAAGAACCGATTGGGCCAAACACCCCGGGTGAAGGACCAGAAACAAAGACTTACTTTAATCTACAAAATTATAATTTAGTATGACTTCAAAAATAGTACCCGCACAAACAAAAGTAGATTAGAATCAATTTTAGAATGAAAAAAAATATGTTGAAAAAAATTAGATCAATTTTAGTATGAAAAAAGTACGAAAATAAAGTTTAAAAATGGTAAAATTGATTTCGATCAATTTAAAATTGATTTAAATTGATCGCAAATCCCAGCTATGAAAATTGATCCATTTTTTTTCCAGTCTTAATTTGTTTTTGTTTTCAAGGGGAACTAGTTTAAATCGTTTTTTTTATTCGAATTTCATCAGTTTCAAACTTTTGTTGCATTTCTTCATTGCCTATCAGTTTTCATTATACATCCAAAGCATATTGTAGCATAAAAACGACCAAATAAAAAGAACAAAAAAATCGATAAAATTTTATGACTTCCTTACATCTTTTGAGTTCTATATTGATCCCTTTCTTGATTCGTTTCATAAATTTTGGCTCAAAATCTGATTAACATTCATGATTTTCTATGATCTGATTGATTAGTATTGAGATTAAAATCTAATTGGTTCTGACCTTTTTCTTGTTTGTTACATAGGATTTTGCAACTAATCTGAGTTACAATGATTTTTTATGATTTCACTGCATATTTTTTTCATTGCAGCTTAATTATCTTTATCAATTCATGTTTATGATCTGATTTATGTTTATTAATTTATTGAATTCTATAACATCTGCCACGTGTATTTTTATTTAACAAACCGAAAATAAAATTTTTCAATTTTTTCAGAAGAGTATGTTTTTTGCCGTGTTAGCAAAAATATTGATTTTAAAGAGTACAGAAATCCATCCAAATCGAATTAAATTGATATTTGAGATCTTTAAATTGATCCAAATTTTTCAAAGACGGATGATTTAAATCAAGTTAAAATGGATATAAGTGAGATTCGAATGAATTTAGGTGAGTTTCGGCTGCCTTTTAGTGAGCCAGAAAATCCATCCAAATCGATTGAAATCGATTTTTTAGACACTTATATCGATCTAAAATTTACAAAAAACTTCATTTTAAATTGATTTAAAATCCATTTAATTCGTAAAAAGTACATTGTTAATCCATTTGGATCGATTTAAAATCGTTTTAAAATCAATTTAAAATGATCCGAAACCGTTGTTGTCAGTGCGAGTAGCTTAAAATGATACCATTATGATACAATTATTGAAATGAATCAATTGCAGTTCAACTAAAAGGAATTTTTTGAGGCAATTTTCTGCTTTTTGTTATGAAACCCTTGAAATAGAAAGTTTGTTTCAATTCGCCAGCGGTCAATGACAATTTGAAAATTTCGCATAATTCAGCCGTTTTCAATTTCGGCCAATTTTAATATTAGATCAACGGAAAGGTTACAAATTGTCACTCAACTTGAATTTCCCAGGATGACGAGCCAAAAAATTCCAATTACGCAAATTTTATTTATGACAATTATTTTTTCCATAAAAAAGTTTTCGAATTTCTTCAAACTGTTCAGAAGAATAATTAAAGAAAATTATTGCCAAATTTTGCTGAGTGAGAAAAGTTTTTCTGTACAATATCATTTTTTTGGTATTTGAAAATGCTTTTCATACTTTTTTTGTTTAGGGAAATTGTCTTTTATGAATTTTTTTTTTGGAAAAAAGGGTCAACCACTGAAATTTTTGAGGTGAAGCCTCACAGACAAAGCTTGACTTAGTTGGTATCTATCAATACGCAATGTAATTTGAGTTTAAAGTACCGTTTGAATTACTTGAAACCCCACTCGAGAGAAATTTTGGCTGTTTTGTTTCAGGGCGAAACCCATAAACATAAGGTGAAACACAAAAAAAAATATCGAAAAACTTTTTTGTCAAACCACCATACTATTTCGTTGAGCAGAAAAAGGCTTACCAAGCTATTTTCACACAATCTTTTAAATCTATGGAATGGTATAGATTTGTATGAACGGCAATTTTTTATAGTAATTTTTTTATTGGATGGATGGAAGATATGGAGTTGTATGAAAAGCAAATTTTTCCTAAATGATTGGGACCAAAATGGCACAAAACAATTTTTAATCGATCTTTTTCCTTCAATTTTATCTTTTTTTTTTCTTCAGTTATATCAAATTTTGCTGATAGTTTTGGTTTTTGGTTTTTTTTTTTCCAACTGGTTAATTTTGTTTTTATTTTATTATCTTTTTCCGTCAAATTGAGGTTAATTTGATCTTTTTTGCCCACTTTACGGTATCTCAAAAATTTTGCGATTGATACCGCAGTTTACGATGTATCGATTCACAAATTAGTTGTACATGGTTGTACTAAGATTTTTGGATCGTTGCTTTTAAAAATCATCAACATTTTAGAAATTTTTCTGTCAAGTGCGTGAATTTTAGTTAACATTTATTAATTTTAGCAGACAATTTGTGTACCGTTGATTTGGTTAATAATGGGGTTCAAGATGCTAAATTTTTGTCTTTAATACGTAATCTTAATACGTTCTTCCTGACTTCTGATACCAAGTTCAGTGCATTTATTAGACAAGCTCGTAAAAATTTTGTAGTGTACTTGTGACATTTCATGCCCAATTTTAAAAATTTATTAGATTACTTTTTGACAAATTCAATTGTTTTTGGGGGTTATTGATTGACATTTCTCATGCTTCAGTGTGATAATATTTGCCCTATTTGAGATCGTTGATTAAAACGAAGACATTTTTGTGGCAAATTTTGTTATTTTGGTGATTTTTGATGCAATTGTCATGCATTTAAATGATAAGCTAGTTAAAACTTTTGCTGCAACTTTCGAAAAAAATGGTGGAATATTATTGTTCGGGGTGGCTTTTTTCTTCATAAAACACACGTGTTCACTGTGTTTCCGTGCCATATTTCAAAAACTGGTGAAAAATTTGAAACGCTAAGGGCAATATTTAAAGTTGCACTAGTGTTTCATGTATTGCACTAGCTTTTCAAAAATGAAAATGAAATATTTGTGCAATATCCTTCCTAGACTAGAACAACCAACCAAAACAATTTAGAAAGTAAAAGTCACGTAAGAGAGTGAAATTTTTTTCGAATGTGATTATTTTGTTCAAACTTTTAACATGTTGCATCTCGAATTTTGTTTAAATCGCGACACTGCGTGTCTCAAGTTTTTCACAAACATTATCGATGCAATATGTAGCTGTTCTTTATCTACTTCAGATAAAAATTGAAACATTAATTAGGCAATTAGGATAAAAATTATAAAATCATCTTAAAGATATTGATACCCAAAGCTGAAAGTTAAATAGATTTTTCTTTTGTTATTTTTTGATGAATTTACCAGGTGTTTTTGGGACTACTTTGACTACTATAATTCAAGTTGAGAAAACTTGAGAAAAATTGAGAAAATTCTCTTTCATAAATGCAAGCGTATAATTAATTTGAATTGAGGCAAGCAATTTGCTCTTAACAATACGTCACCAGGTGCACAAATTTAACATTTTTTAATTGAAGTTATTGTTTTTCTTTAAAAAAAGTTTTATTGACCTTGATTGGCAGTCGCAAGTTTCAGAGATGCATCTTGATACGAATAGATTTGCTGATGTTCTTTGTTGCTGCTAAATTCCTTACATGTTTCCGAAACAGTTTTCCGTGATGGTTTTCCTAAAACAATTTTTTCAGTTAATAAACCAGTTTTGAGAAATGCGGATAGGTTCTGCAACTTTTTCAAGTCAATTTTAAAAAGGAAATAAAAATATTGCACAAATTGAGTAGTTGTTTGTCGTTTTTTTAGTAGAGAAAATTTTTAACAATCGAAGTGAGACTAGAAAAAAATCTGAAATCCTGCAATGGCACAATTTCTTTACAAAACAAAAGCTCAATATGCTGCATTTTTGGCTTATAATGAAACGGTAGATCAGTCAAGTTTATAAGAACAACTAAAAGGATATTGAGAAAAATATATTTGTTCCGCTCAAGTCTTTTCTGCTGCGCGAATTTAAATGGCCGATTGATTTTCATACTCAACTAACTATTGTTTCGTTAGTTCTAAGAGAATTTTCCGGCATTTTCTTTCAATAGTTCGTCTTTTTTGCATTATAAAAATAAAATTTATTGTTTATGGTGTATTTTTTCAGATCAAAATTCGATTTTTTTTCCCACATGAATGTGTGTTTGAGTAAACGGACACGTTTCTGAAACTTGTGATAATGTTTCCTCTTTCTAACAGGGCATCCCATTTCTTGCTTTTACTATTCATCACTCTCACAGCTATCTTGGTGCTACTTTACCTTCAAACTAATCTGTTAGACAAGTTAGTACTCAATTATACATTTAAAAAGATCAAAATGTAATTCCATTTGAAAAATATTCAGGTACTTGTTTAGAAGTCTGGTCCCGCCGTTATTGATGAGTTTCCGTTTAAAAACTCGTTTAGAAGGGTGGCCGCGCCACCCCACTGGAAATATACTTTAAGTACTTCAAGTGGACAAAAACAAAAAGAAAACCTGTAAACATTATTTCATTAGATTTGCCACTTATGTATTCTTTAAAATAGAATTACCAAAAATACAAATTCAGTGGCAAAATTTGGCAACTACTTTAAAAAAAAATTTTTTCGGGACTTTTATTTGGGACCATTGGTAGTTTTACGGGACCATACTTCTAAACGAGGTTTTAAACGGGACCATACATCTAAACGAGTACCAATATTCCTTTTCAATTAAAATAAGAAAGAAATGCAAACTTTTCCGAAATTTTCTTCTCAAAAAGCGTTTAAACTTTTATGTTTTAGACCAATTAGAATGAGAGTTTGAAAAAAGACTAATCTTTTTAAGATATTATTAGTCTCACTGGGCCTAATCACTCCAAAAAGTAACTCAGAAAACAATTATCTTGCCAAAATGGTCGCTCTGATCTCGTAAACTCACCACCCTCCCCCGTTAAAAAATTATCCTTATAAATCTTCCCAAAATAACCAAAAAAATTAATTCAAAACCTCATTGAGTTGCAAAAAAAATTCAAATTTTAACTATTGTTATTTTAATTTATCAACTTTAAACAATTGTACTTTTTCATTGACATTAAATGTCAGTCAGAACAATAACGGATTTATCCTGATGTGAAAAGTACTGAATTAATTTTATTGGTTTTTGCCTGATTCTTATAGAGTTTCAACTATGTTAATTCCCTTTCACTAACTAAAAATAAATATAAAATTTGGGGGAAGTGTCTTAGAAAAATCAAAAATAAAAGCTATTTGCCTGTTGGATCTTGTTATTATCCCCATTGGCTTTTTTTCATTTGCATTCACTTTTCATAATTATCAATTTCATGGAGTAACGAGGAGTCTTACAGCATTAAAATTGAAGACCAGATATGTTTTTCGTAGCCTAGCTAATCCGCATGCCAATTTTTGTTTTAATCGGATAATGCAAACAGGAAAACTTCCTATAAATTTTATTTTCACAGGTGGGGAAAAAGAAAGAAACCTTCTTGCAAAAATGGAAAAATGGTTACAAGGTGCAAAATTTGTATATGTTTAATTGTTCGAATCTTTTCTTAATAACAACTATATCATTTTTTGGGCCAAATAACCATTAACTAGTTGTTTTATATCAAATCTACAAAAAAATCTTCTTTTATAAAACTATGGTGCTAATTTTGGTTTTTGTTGGGTCTCATGTGGGGTGATCGTTTTGAAAAGGAAAATTCAAAATTTTTTTGAAAAAATCATTTTTTTTTTGAAAAATGTATCACATTTTTTTTAAAATTGTACACTACTGCATAGAATTTAAAGGGCAGTCGGAACATTTAAGGCTTCGCCATGATACGAGATGTCTTGTTTTTGTTGCATGCATTGTTTCTTTTATCAATTCTGGTTGGTTAATATTTTTTTGTCTACTTGAATCTCCTTCAAGGGGTTAGTTGTTAAATAAATAAAATTAGCCGGAAGGAATTTTGACCATTTAGAATGCAACAAAACTCTAATTTTGAATAGAACGCGCTAGTGCTAATTTACTGCTTTTCCTTATAGTGGATACCGGTTACGTAGCAGCATTTAGGCAACCGTGTGTTCCTTTTCGTGAGTAAGCAGACAAAAATAAAAATTCCGATCAAAAAAAAAGAAAACAAAAAAGAAAGTCATCAAGCAAAATTAAATATTTTTGAACAAAAATTAAATCGTTATTTTAATCAGAATGATAAATAGTTTTTCAAAAATTTTGACAAGTTACAGCAACTCTCTCCCAATACATTTTCGATGACAAGTGATCCTCAGATAGGAGTTTTTCTAGCATATAATTTTTTCATTCAATAATTGATTTTTTTTGGTTGTTTTTCCGGGGCTGGTTCGCAACGCACAACTCTTCGTAGCTGCATTCGAGATTAAATTTTTCGGGAGTTTTTTTTCAGCAAGTTCCAAAAGTTTGGCCAATCGACCCCAATATCCTTGTTTCATCTCATATCCCAATTTTTGCGTTTGTTGGTAGTAATCAGGGCAATATCTTTGTCAAAGACATTCCACATATCAGGTGGGACGTAATCGGTTATCCAAGTTTCAGTTGTTAGTCTCGAGAAAAATGGCCTGATAATTTTGGATTAACACAATCAGCTCATCAGCCGGCAAAAAAGCAAGCTGAATAGTCTACAAGCTATCAAGTGCAGGGTCGAATCACTTTTGTATTCTCTCGAGAATCCTAGTACCAGAAATTTTTTGTAAAAACACTGGGTACAGTGAAAACAACATCCGAGATGGCACATGTTTTCTATATTTCTTTAATTCCAGTTTCAAAATCAGTCAAAAAATGTTGGCATTTACAGAACAATTGGCATTTTCGGGTCAAATATTCAAAAATATTTTGGATACATTTCTTCACTTTTCTGCATGAGAAAAGCCCACGACTGGTTCTTTCCAATTTTAACTGGACCCGAAAATTGTTTAAAATGTAAGAACGGTCGCGGGCCGTTTTCAACGTTTTATCTCCTCAATTTTTTTTGATCTTACGAGAAATTCGAGTCCTTGAATAGTTGGATAAATTAGCAAATCCGCAAAGTTTTTGGGTACGGGGAGTTTGTATTCTAGTCGAGCTTTTGCTGGTCGATATACCGCCGGCAAATAAGTTTCCTTTAACCAATTTGGAGGGATTTCTAAAATAGATTAAATATCTTTGCAAAATTTTTTCTCGTGTTCTGCACATGGCTCTTCGTACTTGATTAGATGCTGGCGGTAAATAGTTTTCAACTGTTTCCTGCACTTGATTTTATTGTTGTCTCGAGCTTATTTTTGAAAATATATTTCACCTGTGATCTGTTTTTGTTTTGTTATGGTGGTTTAAAAGTTGCCATTTTGGCCGGTTTGAGACAATAAACACGCGATATATTTTGCGCTATTAACGCGTAAGCGGAGATTTGATCTGTTTTAGAAATCACTCCAATTTGGTTAAAGGAAACTTATTTGCCGGCGGTATATCGACCAGCAAAAGCTCGACTAGAATACAAACTTTAAAACAGAAAATCGTATTTACTGGCATAAAAATAGAAACACAAAATTGAAATGATGAATGAAAATAAAATCATTGGGATCTTGTTAACTATTTCTTTTCTGATGGACTTTGTTAACTATCCCCTCTCTAAGCTTTTTTTTGACAAAGAGAATTCCCTAACCCATGATTGGGTCGATTGGGTCAAAATGTGAAGTGGGAGTATTGATCTAAACTCATGTGATACAAAAAATGGATCAAGCTAATATCCTATAAAAACACCTCCCCCTCCACCCCTCCCCCTCTGCCCCTCCCCTCCGCCTCCAAAAACTAGACCAAGTTAAGGGGGGGGGATGTTAACTTGGTTTCAAATTTTAGTTTTTTATTTCCTTAATTTCACAAGTCGATTTCTGGAAACAGCAAGTCTCAATTTGAATGTAATATTCTTGTTGTTTTGGGTTTCTGAAAGTTAAGCAAAATAACATCCTTTCTAAACAGATTTTGGGGAAGTTAACGGTGGCCAGTCAATAAGCAGAATGGTCTAAGAGCAGAATGAGTCCAAGAGCAGAAAAATTGAAAAATAGCAGCTTTTATAAGCTAATCGGTAAATTAAGTATGAAAATTGTCAAAATTGCCAAAGAAACAAATGTTTAATGTTTTATGCATAATTTGAGTAATTTAATTGCAATTTTTTTTCAAAATTCACTTGAAAAACTTAAAGAAATTATTCAATTCTTGTATATTTTATTCATTTTCTTGATATTATTGACGATTCTAATAATTTTTTAAATCAATTAGCCCTTATAAACCAATAAAATTTAATATTTTCTGTTTTGCGCTCATGGACCCATTCTGCACTTGAACCATTCTGCTTATTGCTCCGCCTCCGATGTTAACTTGGTTTCAAAGTTTCTTTTGCTTGTTGTTTGCTTAATTTCACATTTTTATTTCTCAGAAAAGCAAGTTTCAACTTGAACGGATTACTCTTGTTGTCTTGTGTTTCTGAGAAATAAAGTTACCAAAATTATGCTAGTCGTTACAATTTCATGTTTTCAAACTTTTATGCTAGTCGATATGCTAGTCGAGCGGTCACCTATTTGCCATAATTGATTATATTTACTAAGAGAAAATCTATCACTTTGTACTTTATATGGTGTGTGTGTGTGTGTGTGGGGGGGGGGGGGGGTGGTTGATTTTCACAAGAAAATCTCATATCGTAAGAAATTTTCATTTTATTTTATTACATTCAATTATCTTATTACTTCTCCATAAACCTTAAAATGCAGTCGGAACGTTCAGGGAGTCTTTTGTATTTTTGTTTTAGATTGTAATTCGTTTCGACCAATCAGAATTGAGTATTTTGTTTGTCTAAATACTGACGAGCATGAATACGCGGTTGTCTAAATAGAAACCGCACTCCGTAGATACCATAGATGCAGGGGGCGATTGTTAGGTGGGTATTCAAACGTACCAAAATGATAAATCAGTCCCATTTGCACCAAAAAAAATCAATCGCGTTAGTACGAAAAAAATATTCAATTGGCCGAAGACCACTAAGCCGACAAATTTAAGCTCTTGGTTTAAGGTCGCCGGTGGGCATGCTACGCGCCCGCCCCGCTTAGCCGCGATAACCGGCTCAAAATTTCCCGCCTTCTGTTGGCATGCTCGCAACACGTTGGCGCGACTGCGGCGGTCTTTATCCTTCTGTTTAGTTTTCTTCTGTTTGAACGGTAGAAAATTCTTTCAAAAATTCGTTGGATCACAATTTGACTAATCAGAAATCGAGTTGAATAATTTTGGAACATAGGGACTTCACCGATTGTTAAATAGATCCCTTTACTTTTTGACGAGCATGTTTAGACCATAAATCCAGAAAAAAAATCCTTAAAAAAACCGTTAAAAATTTTACTGTTTATTTTTTATTTTCACAAGCTGCTTTGATTTCTGTTTTCAACTTAGACTTGAAAGACCAACGCGCGTATCATCATCTTATGGCGAGCTGAGATCGGTTCAGAAATCATTCAATTCATTCAAACGACCGCGACTGATTGTGGTGACCCCGACTTATGGCCGAGCTACTCAGATTGCCGACTTAGTTCGATTGAAACAGACTCTGAGTTTGTTAAAGGACTGCGACTGGATAGTTGTAGAAGACGCTATTGTCATAAATAGAGAGGTGCAGGAGTATATCGGGGACTACAAAGCAGGGTGAGACTCTGTTATCAAGTCCCCCCCCCCCCCCCCTCTTATTCTTTCGCCCTCTCGTAACCCCACCCCCATACACACACCCCCACGATCGATATTACCCTATAAAAAAATTGTTAATAAAACTAAGTTAGCCTGTGATTCAATAAAATGATAACAAAGAGCCCTAATTATTGCCATCCTCATCATCTGCGTATGTCTTTAACCACAAGCAATATGAAGAAACGTATGAAAAATTCCGGTTTTTGGAGAGTGAGGGTTTTTGTCAGGGTTATTTTTCCTTGTTAAATTGAAAAGAACCTTTTAAATCTTAGAATTGTTTTAGAAAACTTGTTTACCTGGCCAGTCACTCACGTGACCGGATGTTTCGGGGAATGCAACAGCGAAATCTGGCTCTGCAGTTGATCCGAAGTCATTACCAGCAATCGTTTTTTTCATCGCGAAACACGAGAGCAGTCGTGTATTTCGCCGACGATGACAACTCGTACGACGCGGTTTTTCTCGACTCTCTTCGGTTCACGAATAGTATTTCTTTGTTTAATGTCGGACTAATTTTGGATAGGCGATACGAGGGACCTATCCTCGAGAACAATAAGGTAATTAGAATGTATCACAATTCGCCCCTCAAACATTTCGCCCTCTTACTTTTATTGACACATTTCGCCCCTCCGACTTTTCTCAGATCACCAATTTTGTCCCTAATTCATTACAACCGTTTTTGGGTAAGATTTCAGGGGATAACTGAGAGCTCTTTCCCCCCCCCCCCCCCCCCACGAGCTTCAATATATTAGTGTAACAAGTGGTTTTACGAGGTTGAGTATGAAGACCAAATATGTTTGTCGTGGCCTTATTAGTCTGTATGTAAATTTTCATAACAATTGGACAATGTGGTCAACAAATTTACATGTAAAAATTTGCAGGTGGGGGGAAAAGGAAAAAGAGCCGGGCTCTTTTTCCTTTTCACCCCCACCTGCAAAATTTTATCAGTAAAAATTATGTTCACTTTGTTCAATTGTTATGAAAATTGACATACGGACTAATTAGGTTATGACAAACATATTTGGTCTTCATAATTAACCTTGTAAAACCACCCGTTACACCATAAAAAATCATGTTCGTGTGAGGTAGGGGGGAAAAGGAAAAAGAGCCAAGAGCCGAAATGAGATGTGTCAGGGGCGTAATGTGACCCCCGTCTCCCCGATCTTCCCCCAACGAAATCATCCCACTGCAATTTAATCCCAAATATTTCAAATAGTTTATTTCAAATAAAAGTCCCTTTTAAAAGGCGTTTCCAACAACGTGCTGCAAGCTTGCCAACAAAATGTAGGGTTTTTATTGAAAATTAGCGCTCGCTCATCAGAGACTTAAGCATTAAAATATGAAAGTATAGTATAAAGCCAGTATAGTTGCTTAACAATATCAGCTATATAGCTCAGCGTATACATAGTGCGTTCCGGGGAGTTCGATTCTCACCTAAGTCGTTTCATTTGAGAATCCTATTTGAGCCGAACCTGAGAGAACATAAAATGCTAATATTTTAATCGGTTCAAAATTGGTTTACAATTGAGTTTCTGTTAATTAAACTGCGTGAACTCATTGTGAAAAAACACATAAATCACACAAATCAGGGCATGAACAAGCCCACTTTTTAACTTGATACGTGTAATGTTGTTGCTAATTCCGTGCAATAAAAAATTACTAAAATTAGCCGTTTATTGATTCTCTTGAATTAAACCGATTCTGTTTCCTGTTTTTATTAGTTATAAAAAAGTTATAAAAAAGGCCAGAATATTTTGGTGCCGCGACTCGGGAACACACAACTGAGGACCGACCCGAACACAATTTAATGCGAGCTCGAATTGAATCAAGGAACGACCCCTGGCGAACTCAAATTGAAGCAAGGAACGACCCCTGCACAATTTTGAGCGACCTCATTCTCCAAATCAAGGAGCCCTCCACAATTTCGTGTGACCTCAAGTCAAAAACGGGGAAAGCACCACAAGTCAAAACAAAGCCGACAAGCCAGAAGGCCGACATCACACAAGGCGGAAAGTGGTTTTTCTGTGGAATCTTCGTGTACTTTTGGACTCCCTGCAAAAAACTTGTAAGATCGAACCTGTGCTTTCAACTAACTTTTAGACTCTAATGTGTGCTAGTTTTTTAACCAAAAAAAAGTGCTACTTTTTTGATTATCAGTGCTATAAAATAACATACGATGTTGTTAATTGCAAACCGATTAAGACCGTACTAGATACCTAATCCTAGTTCATACCCAGTACCCTATTACCCCAGGATAATCTCGAACCCAAAAAATTTTGTAAAAAAAAAAATTCAGAAAATTTTCCAAAAAATTTTCGCAAAAAAATAAATAAATAAAAAAGTTTCGCAAAAAAAAAAGTTATTCCAACTTTTCCCAAAACTTTCACTGACAAAAAAAAATTTTTTTTTTTGCCCGAATTTAGAGCAAAATCGGAAAACACCGTTTTCGTCTCGCCCGTTCAAACGCTTAAACCGTCAATCGTGTCGAGCAAGTTTTTTGAGTGAATCCCTACCTCGGTTTCCTCCAGTGGTTGGATAAACTTTAAAAAATTTGCTCGGCTCGCCCCGTTTTCGGCCGCATACCGCCGCGACCGTTACTACTACCGTTTCTCCGTAAAGTCGTTGAGTTTAACCGATAAACCGTACGCGTTAACTTAAATAGTACTGAATCGAAGCCTTAGCAAAACCTTAAAAAACCCTCAGCTAAGGGTTCTTAAAGTTCTTATCGTGATAAATTTTTTTTTTTCATTTCTATGTGACGACTTTACATCAACAGACTCCTTAACTTGATTGCCATTAAAACAATCGTATCGCTTATCACTCTCAATGGTGTTCATCATTGCTGCGAGTTCTCTCCATCACTCCGTAAATACATTACCATTAACTCTACAAAAACGCCTCGACGACACTTTTAAAGCAGTTCCAGGTTTAAGCTTTAATTTGAATGCAAATAACCGGCAAAAGACTGTTCAATATCTTTTAAGCAATTCCCCAAAATGTATGATAGAGAAAAATTTTATAATTTGGCACGATGTTATAAATAATTCATTCAGCAAGCATAGATCAAACAACGATAACCCACTTACACCAGAAACTCTGATTAAAATTTTAGAAGAGTATAAAAACAAAATATCAGCCATTATTTACGTACACCGTCAAAATACCCCTAATATTTACGGACGTTTGGTTGAAACAGGAATATTAACAATTAATGTGACCAAACATTTAATATCAAAAAGAAAAGCTAGCAATAAAGAATTAATTCGTAAGCTTAAATTAATTCATCCTCCGGCGTTTTTCGAAATAAAAAATTTGAGAATCATTCGACGTTATTTCCCAATCTGTCCGAACTTATCAATAAAGTTAAAAGTCGTCGACCAAGTTCAAGCAAAAGGTTTCACCAATGACAACAGTCGAAGAATATTTAACATTTGTTAGGCATTATAAACCTTGATTTTTTTTTGATTAGTTAAATTCATCTTTATTTTCAATCTTGTAGTTTGTTGTCCTTCTGTTCCGTAGGCAACGAGAATCGTAGGGGTCTTGCGAGGATCCTCTCGTTCGGTATAGGACGCGGCTACTTGAATTGACTCTAGTTTGATTCCGTCAACCGACACTATTTTTTTTTGCTCTTATTTAGAAATGGAGCTTGATCTCGGCCAGAAGCTAAACAAAATTTATCTTGCCAGGAAAGAGTTAGAAACAAATTTTTTCGATTATCAAGCCAAAATTACGGAATATATAAGTGCGAATGATAGACCAGCTAAAATTGAAACGTACATAGAAAAATCTAGCATTTGCTTACAAAAAATAATGGAGAAAAATGATGAGCTTAAATCTTTGTCTATGCACAGCAACAACGCTGCTGAAACAATAAATCAACTTGAGTTTTAGCTAGGATCTACGACTGCAAAACATGACGATGTATTAGGTCTAGCTAAAAATTACTTTCAAATTAAACATCAAAGGACCAGGTAGCAACTGCACGAACCCCAACGCCAAGCGAATCCGTCCGTTCCAAGATTGCATTCTAAGATTGCATCAATGACTTCGAGTGAGCGTCGAAGAGAGGCAGCCCTTGCAAAAATTAGACGCGAAGGAGTTGAACGCCAAGTAGAGGCTAAGCTTCGTTTGAAAAAGCAAGAGATCCAGATTCAGTCGATGAAGGGTCAACTTGATCTTGATGTGGTTATAAAGGAAAGCCGTCAAAAGCTAGCTGAAGCAACTATCGAAGAGGCTGAATATCTGGAAGACGCCTCTGAAATTTGTGAATTTCGTCGTAGCAGATCGAAATTGGCAATGGCCGTTCAGGAGAACCAAACGGAAGAAGACAGGACAAGAAGTTGGGTGAACACTCAATTCCCAACTCAGGAGATAGTTCAGCCCGTGGCCCCAGTCCAAAGTGTCAATCTGGAACCAGCTTTCCGAGTTCTTGTCATTTTCAAGTATTGAACCGCCTTTCAGTCAAAATCTGACGATGATTAATAACTCACATCCATTTGCTGATTATTTCGAAACCACGTGTATAAACTCACAGAGTGTTAACGTCCCTCATACATCAAATACAAGTGTCCGCTTGCCAAACCCAAAGTTAAACAGTACGTATGAGCCACAGGAACAGCTACCTTCGACCAAGCTATACAACTACAACCCTTTGATGCAGAGTAGTTTTCATCATTCTAATATCCCGACGAGCTCAATGCCCATTGCTCAACAAACCTTTTTCCCAACTAATTCCGCAAATTTTGTGTACCAACCGCTTTTACCAACTACCGTTGGTCCTCTCAATCCTCCAACAGTCACCTTCTCCCCTAACTCATATTATTTCACACAGCCATCGAATGTTCAACCGTTCTCTAGCGGAGGAACAACTTTTTATGTCGGTGATCCTAAAACTTTAGACGCCGCAATCTATTCAAAACCGCTGATGGCGCCTTATACAAATGAGAACAAACAATATGGCCCATTTACGTCCTCGAGCAGTAAACCAATCACAAATCAAGATCTAGCTGAAATCTTGACACTGAGCCAGAAAGGTCCCTTGCCTGAATGGAAATTGTCTTCTTTCGACGGAAATCCGTTGCAGTGGCCTGAATGGTTTGGTCAGTTCAAAAGTGCAATCGATGCAAAAGTTTTAAGTGATGATGTCAAACTGACATATCTCAAAACTCTCGTTTCAGGCAAAGCGAAGAATGCAATTGCCGAATTCGCTCACAGTGGAGTATTCTACAAGGACGCTTTGAAAACTCTAGAGAGGAAATTTGGACAACCACAGACGATTGTGGCAGCTCATCTTGAAAAACTTTCGAATTTTCCACCTCTCAAATTGCACAATTCAGAATGCATTATCAGTTTCGCTTCCTGTATATCCAGTCTTGTCGCAGTTTTAAAATCGTTAGGATATGAGTATGACTTGAAGAGTACATCCGTTTTGAATCAAGTTATTTCAAAATTGCCTCCAAATATGAAAGATTCATGGTCTCTCCACTCTGTAAAGAAATGTTGGAGACAGCCAACCGTTTTAGACTTTAATGATTGGCTCCGCGACAAGGCTGAG